TTTGAGGTTCTCTTCAAAATAAAAGTGAATTTTTATGTGCATTATTGTTGCTACAATACAGTATAGACCGAAAAAAAATTCGTGAAAAAAGATGTTTTCTTCATGAATTTATTTCGGACCTTGACTTATACAAAAATTTGATTATTTCTCGGTCAGGGATATGGCCACCTTAAGAAAATATAGAATCATACGGATTTTTCAATTCTTTCTCACGGTAAGACCAATGATTATTTTGAGCTCCTAATTTTTATACATACCCTTTGCAGTCATCAAATCCCCATTTAAAAAATTTTCGATTTTATCCATTTTAGCAACAATTAGAATTTTTTCAAAATTTCTTCGAAAAAATATTTATAAACATTTAGAGCTGGAGCTACCGTACTTACATATTCTTCAAATGTAATTATAGGATCAAATAGAGGAAGGATTGACGAACTTTTGATTTTATGGATACGATGAATTGTCTTCGAGATATGAAAGCTCAAATTTGAAATGAGTTTACGGCAAAACAACGTACTGTACAATAACAATTAAAAGTGATTTTGATTGTTTGAAGCAAAAACTTCATAACTATGAAAATTTGTTTAAATCGGAAATATATTTGAACTGTTCTGATGCAAAAAAGATTAATACATTTCACAGGAATCGAGTCAAAGAGTGTGGAGTGGGAAGGACTATGCGAACAGAGCAGCAAAATTCACCGAGTCGTATTTTACTTTGAACAAAGATTATCTCTGCTACAAATTGATCATTTTTAAAAAATATTTGCAAGACAGACTTTATTGACCAACACGTTTATTAGGTATCTGCCAAACCATCTATAAAAAATAAACTGTAAAGTGGATTCTATACCATATTCGCTGTCTGGTCTATCTTGAAGTAAATCAGATTAAAAAGTCACCGAACCAATAAACAACAGTACACGGATATCTATTTATCCCTAAAACCTTTTTATTTGAGATATAAGAATGTTTAAAAAATATATCAAAATTGTAACACATTGATAATAATTGATCTGTGATTAGTCGCAATATAAATATTGATTATAGCGTCATTTCCCTGTAATCAATCAATATCCGTTTGAACAATTAGTAAAAGCCACGGGAAGGAGTTGAAAATTGATTCGCCACACCAAATAAAAGAATGACGTTCCCACTTCAATGGCAATAAGGAAATATAAATTAAAGTTTTCAAAAAATCAATCAACTATCAATCAGTATATTATGACGCGGACAATTCTTCAGTTTATATCGTCTAAACATTTCTCGTCTTCCCAATAGACTTGTATAAGAAATAGTCGCAATTTTACGAATACGAAATGAAACCTCAATCATCGACATTATTATTAAAATTAAAAACGGCGAGAATTTACTACTTACAAATTACAGTAAGCACAACGACATAATTACAGTAATACATCAGTAATGTAAACGGTATTAAATTGATTGCTTTTGCTCAAGGTATTGTTTTTAATTAATGTGCTCGAATTAATAATCATTTGTTTAGCACACTTCCCTTGTTTTAATAAATAAATTATGCCCGAATAAAGAATGAATTTCAATGCCCGCATACCAAATACTCTCAACTCATCAGCGTTTCCAAAACTAGGGTTTTTGAAATTGGGTTACATTCTTCAAAACGGTCAGTAAATAATAAGTTTGATTCCCAATTCAATTACTAAATTTTTCAAATAAAAGTAGCGGGCTTCTTACCAAATGAGTTGTAACACAATGAAAAAGTTTAAGAAATTCTGATATAATCCCGAGTATCATCCTTAAAATCTTCTAAGCAGATATTTAGTATATGCCTTGCAATTACATTTGAAAAACATAAAGCGGAAATCTTACAGCTAGGCTAGACAAAATAGAAACCACTTTAGTAAATAAAAAATTATGTTTTTCTGATATAAGATATTTATGAATCATTTCATTAAGTGAATGGTCTCTCTCGCAATTGAAACAATCAACCCATTTATGGTATAAAAGAGCTTACTTACTACCCGGATGAACAAATTCGTAAATAAAATAAACAAATAAATTACGACTGTTATTAAATATTTTGTGTCCATGGTAAGTTATTGCATATTAATTTTTTTCAACTATTTTTAATAAAGATCGATACTTTATGTTGTACAAAATATGTAAATTTATATGAAATGTATTTAGTTATTTCCTATTTCCGTTATGAATTTATTAGCATGAGTTATTAAATTTTCAGAAAAATTCCTGTAATTCAAATTTTCGAATTTTTTTATTTTAATATTCCCATTAGTTTGCGAATTTTACATAAGTGATTTTTGGTAAATTTGTCTATTTGTACGAGTTCCACATCATGTTAAAAATGTCTCAACTCTGAGAACACCCTATATACATATTTAATATCAATAAATAAAGATGCGCAACTAAGAAGTCTCTAGTTCACCATTTTAAAATTAAATAAAAAAATATTATTTCACGATACCACACTGAGAGGGCTATTCAAAGGACTTGACTTTTGTATACAGAGTGAACGTTAAACTAGTAGATATATTTTAAACAGCGGTCCTTAACTACTGTGTGGGACATTTATAGTTTTTTTTTGTGCGAACAAATTAGGAATGAAATAGTCGATTTTAAAATCAGTGTCGGGTTTTTTCTTTAATAGAAAACTTTTTGAGAACTGCTGACTTTACTCTTACATTTACTACTAATTTAGAGCAACTATGCAGTGTTGCCAGTGTTACACAGAACTCTTAAACTCTAACGTTTTATGTGAAATAGAAAGAGTTAAATAAAGACAATACGTCACAAACATCATAAATATTTATGGCCTCCTTGCCATTCCTATTTTTAAAAACTATTTCTGCTCAAATACCGAGTTTTTTGAGACATTGACATCTTAAAAACACCAAAATTAAATTCTTTTCTTTTGCTGTATTTATCAACTTAGTGAATACATCATAGTTCACTAAAATATTAAAAGCACTTGAAATAAAAACACCATCCGTGCAAATAACAAATCAACAATTCAATAGTAATACACAAAGTTACCTACATTGCTCAATACAAAATCACTTCACAGCAATTTCCAATATATTATAAATTCTTTAATATATTTTTTTTGTATAAAGGTTTATCAAGGAATTTTAAATCAATATGAATCGTTTGAAAATGTGCACCAATACTGTATGTGCCCCATTACCGATATTACCGATATCTATGGGATATACGGGAAATATAAAATTTGGGTTTACGGTAAACAAGAACTGCTTTGAAAATAATTATTATGCACTAGTTAGAAATGTTATGTTATATAAAGCGTATTTCTTCAAAACCAAAATACGTATTTCTCAATTCATATTTTAGTCCCCAGTACATCACTCATTGCGTTTTAGTAGTACATGCAAGTGACAAACTTTGCAAGTGTCTTATTTATTACGAGTCCGACAAACTTACCCTTCGAAAATTTTCGGCGTCGCCACGTTTTCAAACGAGCGATTCCGGGAATTGTCGTTCTGACGCTATGCTACAGTGTGATACATACAATTTAATTCTTGTCATTTTGACATTTTTGGGGCGCCGGACTACTCGTACGCTGCATGGTTTTTGTCGGATAAGTCGACCACTGTTTCTTTCACAAATTACTTAAGCAATTTACACAAAATGGAACTTGCATGTATAAGGATACATAATGACGCCATTTTAACATTTTGGGGATGGTGGGCAAATGGGAACGCGTAATGATTTTTGTCGGAAATATACTGTTTTAATTGTTTTGCCACAAAAAAGCATGTATCGCATAGCGTCAGAACAACAATTCCCGAAATCGTTCGTTCGAAAAAGAAGCCACTCGCAAAGTTTGGCACTTGCATATTATCACTAAAACGCAATGAGTGATGTACTGGGGACTATTTACTTATTGTTAGTTATGAGTATTTTTGTAAACTATTTTTTAATTAATGTTTAATGTGATGCAGTTAGAGGTTATGTGTTTATTATGAAAACTAGTGGAGTGTTAATGTTTGTGTTTTCAACTGTCAGTTTCCTGTTCTAAATTAATTGCCTACTTGTGTACTACGAGCAGTAGTATACAAATACATGTAGATTATGATAACTTTAGCTTGACAGTTTTGTTGACTAAACGTATTTTGTAGTAGTGATTAACTGTTTACGTATCTTATTTTCCAATAATTAGCTAAGCATTTGTTACATTTGTCTTTTAAATATTGCAATTTTAAACTTTATGATAGTATTTATTATAAATTGCTGAAATTATAATTTCAATCGTTAAGAATTTTCTTTATTAATAAGTTATAATTAGGGTTGTTATTACTGCATAATTTAATTTAGATACGCTCATAAATTCCACTATTTTTTAAATGAAAATCCATCACAGTGCATTAGAGTTAGATTTTAACTGCAATATGAAATTTTCTAGTTTTAATTTACTTAGTTTAGATCTTACTCTATAGTTAGTAAGTCTTACTCTATCCAGGTTCGGAAAGTACCGATGGTCCATCTGCCGTTACGTAAGAGCGATAAAGTAAGCCATAGAAATCCATGCGATAGAGAAGGATGGCTATAATGAAGGCGTCTCATAGTCACCGCCCGTTTCGCCCTTCCACAAATAAGATCCACTTCTTATTTGTGGAAATGGGCGGTGACTATTAGACGCCTTCATTATAGCCACCTTTCTCTATCGCACGGATTTCTATGACTTACTTTACCGCTCTCACGTAACGGCAGATGGACCATCGGTACTTTCCGACCCTGTATATATAAAATCTCCATAGGTATATGATTTGGAAATTCGCAATTCTTTAAGCGATTCTCAAAATGTACATGTTAGGACGCGGATTTAAAGAAAAATGGCTTCGCAAGTATTTGTAATTTTAAAAAATGACTTTCTCTTGACTCGTTTACATCACGAATTATATCTGCAGTAAAATATACCTAGTACACATTTAGAATTATAATAATCGTCATATTTAAAATAAAACAAAAACATCGAACTCCACTTACTTGAATCCCTTCTCCTCGTCCGGCCCCACTTGACCGTTCTGCACCGGCTGCCCGTTGCACTCCTCCTTAGGGCTCTGCGGCTTGTCCTTGTCTTTCTCGTCCAGGTGAAGGGCCCGCATCCTGGGCTCCAGGCTCATGGTTTCCTTGCCGGTGGGCGACGTGCCCAGCACGTACTCAACCATCTTGACGCCGAGGCCGCCGTTGTCAGAGCCCCGCGGGCTCAGGATGCTGCCCGTATCTCCGCCGGCAAACCCTCCCGGCCGACGACCCATCGCCAGGGGCGCGGACACCGCGTGCTCTCCTGCAACAAAGAAAAATCGTTCAGAACACTGCTTGCAGGTATACCTATATCCTGGAAAAATACCTATAATATTTATATGCATGGATTTTATTTTTATATTGTACGAATGTACAATTCCGTTTTTGATGGGTATCTCTGCAACTTTTTGCAGGCTTTTTTATTAATGTTTTTTTGAGACAAAATCGAGGATAAAACTCAATCGACTTATGAATGGGTACACCTATAAATTACCGACCCAAAACATGTAGCACTTAAATGGCCAAATGCAAAATTTAAAGAGAAGACGTCAATAGACGAATCCTTATTGGAAATTTAACAATTCGGAAAAACGGACTAATTAGGTAAAAATAAAGTAAATGCAAAAACGTGAAATAAAAACATACTTATTCAAATATTTATTCCGAAATTCCAGTGGTTCTGAAACTTTTTGAAGTTAGAACCCCCTATTAGGTCAGACGATTACTTCTGACAACCTATAAAATGTTTAAAGTATTGATACCATTTGTAACTATACAGGGTAGCCCATCGGAAATGTACCGCAAGGCATTACAGGGTAGTAATGAACTTTTCGGCAAAATCCAAAAACAGGTAAAGTTTGCTTCTGAGGGGGACAACTTTTAGCGCAAAAAGCATAGCAAAATCTTCAACCCCCTAAGTGGGGGTGCCATCCCCCAAATTTTTTTAAATGGGAATGGGGGTCAAGTGGGGGGTCATTAGAAAGGGCTTTTAATTCTCTATACATCGATTCTTACTTTTTGAAAATCGATCCATTATTTTAGAAAATATGCAGCTTTGAAAATACGAACAATATTTTTGACGAGAAATGCGAAAATCGATTTAATTTTACTTCAAAACTTACGGTATTAGCTTGGTAAATTCCTTCAAAAGAATTCGCTTTTTTTTTTTCTGATTTGCGAATTCTTTAGCCTGATTTTGGTGAGCAAAAAATTGTCCGCTTTTTGTTTCGTATTTAGATAGGCCACAAGAAGTTGCTAGATAACTGTCTTGTGACTTGTAGTTGAAGAGTACCAATACTGCCGAGTCTTTTAAATTGATTAATTATGGTGTACTCAATTCCAGAAAGAGTAGAAATTATTGAGCTTTTTTTCAAAAACAATGAATGCGGAAATCGGGTCGCCGAACTGTTCAACCAACGGCATCCTGAGAAACATGCGTCTGGAAAAATTGTTCGCGAATTGGTGGCCAAATTTCGCGAAACTGGCTCCGTTCATAACAAAAAGAGGCAGGTTGAAAATCCGGTACTAAATGAACCTACGGAAATAGCGGTATTGGGGCAAGTGGCAATGGATAGTACGCTGAGTACAATGCAATTGGCTACTGCGACAGGAGTGAGTCGTACAAGTGTCCAACGAATATTAAAAAAATACAAATTCCATCCTTATAAGATTCGGCTAGTGCAAGAGCTAAATGAAGACGATTTTGATCGTCGTTTGCAATTTTGCGAAATAATGACTGAACGAGCGATAAACGATAATTTCCTCTTTAATGTGTGTTTTTCGGACGAGTGTACGTTCTTCTTGAATGGTTTAGTGAATCGCCATAATTGTCGTTACTGGGCTGATACCAATCCAAGGATTTTCCATGAGACACACTCCCAACACCCCCAGAAGTTGAATGTATGGGCAGGTATTTTTGGAAATTCCATTGTAGGTCCTTTTTTCCTTCCTGGAAATTTGACAGGCGATATGTACTTGGATTTACTACAAAATGTCATCGACCCAGCTCTAACAAATATCATAGAGGACGACCCTGCTTACAATGAACACGAACTGATTTTCCAGCAAGACGGAGCTCCTCCACATTACTCGCTCAATGTGCGCAATTACCTAAATGAGACGTTTCCAGGACGCTGGATAGGACGAAGAGGTGCAATTGAGTGGCCCCCTCGGTCACCCGACTTAAATCCTTTAGATTTCTTTCTCTGGGGGCACATTAAAAGCAAAGTTTACAGCACTCCACCTGATACCTTGGAAGATCTGCGAGGACGAATCATTAATGTATGTCGCGAAGTAACACCGCAAGTGCTCCAGAATGTTCGACAACGGTTTGAAGACAACCTGTATCATTGTATGCAAGTTGGCGGACAACATTTTCAGCATTTACTTGACTAATACCGTAAGTTTTGAAGTAAAATTAAATCGATTTTCGCATTTCTCGTCAAAAATATTGTTCGTATTTTCAAAGCTGCATATTTTCTAAAATAATAAATCGATTTTCAAAAAGTAAGAATCGATGTATAGAGAATTAAAAGCCCTTTCTAATGACCCCCACTTGACCGCCATTCCCATTTAAAAAAATTTGGGGGATGGCACCCCCACTTCGGGGGTTGAAGATTTTGCTATGCTTTTTGCGCCAAAAGTTGCCCCCCTCAGAAGCAAACTTTGCCTGTTTTTGGATTTTGCCGAAAAGTTCATTACTACCCTGTAATGCCCTCCCGGAATTTCCTGACCTACTTTCAGAACATCTTGTATATGAAATGTTATTTAATTTAGTGTTTATTTGTTGTTAATAAAAAATTATAAAGAACGATAATTTCCTAAAGAAACTTTTCCCTATGTTTCTTGTGTGGTCCAGGGATATATGCAATTAAGTGGCTTTTTTTTTCTCCAAAGATTAATCAAGATAATAAAAACATTCAACAGACAAGAAAGTTGTATTTTTAGTTGCTTAATCCAAAAAAATATAAACATTACAAAAAAGATAGTACATTTTTTTGTGAAAAATATTTGTTAAGGTACCGCTCGGGACGCCACTGGACTTAAAAATTTTTGTCCTTGCAATTTATTCATTTTCATTATTTTCAAAGCAGATTAATCGATGAAATAAAATAAATAAACAAGAAATGTCACTCCAACTGTTAATACAGAGAGATTCAGAATGGCCAAACGAGCATATTATTTTAAATTTTTTATGTCCCGCTCATTTAATATTTTTTTATTATCACTACACTGACACTAATGTTTAGTTGTTATTGACTGGAAGCATCTTAGGAAATTTCTTGAAAATTTAGTTTTGGCAATAGAAAGTAATTTTTATAAATGGAAATTAATTTCGATGACTTTTATAACTTATATGCATACCTTCATCTTCGATCACTCTGGACATCTACAACTAAGTAGTTTAATTTTATAGATGCTAAAATAGGGATTCAGTATACACCAGCTTGTCATGAGTCTTCTGAAATTTGTTACATCGGAATACAATTTTTCAAATTAAAAAGGATTTTTTAACAGCAACTTAATTCTGAGGTCACCTTTAACAATGTATTGTTTCAATACAATTTCCTTTAATTTTTCCCTATTATTGTAGATGTCATATTTATTATTACTTAAAACAAACATTTCAACTCAACACAATTGACAAAATTATCGAATATACAAATACATATTTAAAACAGAAAATTTGTAAAAATCTCGCGCGTTAAATTCCAAAGCAAACAATTTAAAAATCCCTAACATGTATTATACATTACACAATTTTGGAAACCCGCCTACATGAAAATTACTCTTATATACTATACTTTACAAACACAACGTTCCTGTGGAAATGTCACGTTTAGAGATCTAGGATATACAAAAAGCAAACAGGAATAAAACTGTAAACACGCACGCACAGCAAATATTTCATCTGAAAATGAAGTTTTTCATATTTTCCGTCTCTGCTGTAGCTATTCACAGTCAAGTATTCCACATACAAAGTTATAACTTTGGCAGATATTTATACAGTATGTCCAACCGGCAACCGAAAAGATAAATTTGGCGAAAATGGAATAAAATGAAATAAATAAATGAAAATTACTGGGTGTTGTATTTGAAAATATTGATTGTCACTAGTTCTAAAACTGTCAAACCAGAGAGTGAATACATTTTTACAGAACGCTCTATACTTTTAACTGTGATCCAAAAATAGTTGGATAAAAAAACAAAAAAAAAAACCTGGAAAGCTTCATTTTCTTAATTAGTGAAAACTGAATTCAAATTTTGTAAAAACGAGACAAAATATAACACTTTAACAAAAAGTCCGTTATTTTGCGCATTCTATGCTCATTGTATTCGTTAGAATATGATGAAATAATTGAGGGACTGATCGTCTACTTTGCATGGCTCTTATCAAATGTTTTTCTTACCTTAAAAAAGTAATTATAACAAAAAGAACATTACACTTGGGTCTAGAGTAATTGTAATTACATAAACAGTTATAAAATTCATAAATAATTAACTTCTAAGTTTTAATTGAACTTTTCTATTAAGAATCAGCACACTTCTGTAATTTTTTTGGGGGGCGCAAGATTCGAATGAATTATTTTATTTTAGTTGTATCTGTCGAGCCAATTACGATGATCCAATTGGTAATTCATGGCCTGCTACAATTGTTTTAAAAGTAGTTTACGGGATATCACAGATTTTTTTATTAAAAATCTCTGGCTATGATCCATTCAAATGCATCACTTAAAACCTCAGTATTTTGAATTTGAACAGAATACTTATTCATACAGAATTTTAAATTTGTATTACATACATTGCTAACAAATTTAATAATATTCTATTGTANCACGCACGCACAGCAAATATTTCATCTGAAAATGAAGTTTTTCATATTTTCCGTCTCTGCTGTAGCTATTCACAGTCAAGTATTCCACATACAAAGTTATAACTTTGGCAGATATTTATACAGTATGTCCAACCGGCAACCGAAAAGATAAATTTGGCGAAAATGGAATAAAATGAAATAAGTAAATGAAAATTACTGGTTGATGTGTTTGAAAAAATCGATTGTCACTATTTCTAAAACTGTCAAACCAGAGAGTGAATACATTTTTACAGAACGCTCTATACTTTTAACTGTCATCCATAAATAGCTGAATAAAAAAAAAGAAAAACCTGGAGTCTTCATTTTCTTAAATATAGAAAACTGAATTAAAATTTTGTAAAAGTCCGGTATTTTGCGTATTCTGTGCTCATTGTGTTCGTTAGAATATT